ACAGACCTCACTACCTCTGAGGATGCTTGCCATAGATGCAGGCGAACCGTCAGGAGAAATGCCTCTAGAACATGGCTCTATAGCCCGAAAAAACCCACAAGAACCTAGTGATTCCAGCCATGAAAGCCTTCGACAATACCTTTTCCTTCCGTTTCCCTGGAACTGGATAGTCAGTTTGGACCCCGGATGGTCTTGAGGAATGAAGCCTTTTCTACGGGACAAACTGATTTGCATCCTATAGGCTGGCTTCCTTGTGAATGACTGCCTGAAAAATGGCCCCTTCCCTCCAAAAAACCCAGAGAGGGGCGGGACCAGGGATCCTAACTATTATTGACAGGTGGCTTGCCCTATGAATGCAGCCAAAGGAAGCCACCTATCTGCAAAGTCCCTGCAACTTAGGACTATGAACAAACACTCAGTGCAAAACACAAAATTGGAGCCCCTGGAACAGCCGTTCCAGAACAAGGTGAAAGAAGAAAATGCAAAAGCTGAGTTGCAGTTAAACATCAAAAAAAAAAATATAAGATTATGGCAACAAGACTGATTGACAACTGGGAAATAGAGGGAGAAAACGTGGAGGCTGTGACAGACTTTGTATTTCAAGGTGCAAAGATGAGTGCAGATGCAGACTGCAGCCAGGAAATCAGAAGACATTTTTTCGTTGGGAGGAGAGCAATGACCAATCTTGATAAGATAGTGAAGAGTAGAGACATCACACTGGCAACAAAGATCCGCCTAGTCAAAGCAATGGGATTCCCCATAGTCACCTATGGATGTGAGAGCTGGACCCAGAGGCGGCCCTAGGTAATTTTCAACGGTAAGCAAACAGTATTTTGGTGCCCCCCCCCCCACCAATCATTGATATGGAGCAGGGACGAGAGGGGCTAGGCGAGGCTCAAAGGCCCGGCCCCTTCTGGAAGAGCATCGCCCGGCAGTGAGGCAAGGAAGCCGAGGCTCCCCCGGAATGCTAGGGCTGTTGTGAGCCGAAGGGGTGCTCCTCAAGTAGCGGTCGAGGAGCATTTACAGAGGTGCCTCTGCACCCCTGGCAAAAGAAAATGTACCGCAACCGCTTACTTTGCTTAATGGACGAGCCGCCCCTGGCTGGACCATAAGGAAGGCTGAGCAAAGGAAGAGAGATGCTTTTGAACTGTGGTGCTGGAGGAAAGTTCTGAAAGTGTCTTGGACTGCCAGAAGATCCAACCAGTCCATACTTCAAGAAATAAAGCCCAACTGCTCATTGGAGGGAAGGAGATTAGAGGCAAAGATGAAGAACTTTGGCCACATCAGGAAAGCTTAGAGAAGACAGTGATGCTGGGGAAAATGGAAGGAAAAACTTTTATGTAAAGACTTTTTGTATATACTTCAGAATTCAATATTAATGTCAAAAATACGTAGTATGATTTTACATAGGATTTGTGCTACATTAGAACAGGCAAGACAAATATCACTTAAGTAAAATAAACATTAAATATTAAATAACCAGCTCCACTGGCTGCCAGTTTGCTACCGGGCTCCATTCAAAGTGCTGGCTTTAGCCTATAAAGCCCTAAGCCAGTGGTTCACAACCTGGGGTCCCCAGATGTTTTTGGCCTTCAACTCCCAGAAATCCTAACAGCTGGTAAACTGGCTGGGATTTCTGGGAGTTGTAAGCCAAAACATCTGGGGACCCACAGGTTGAGAACCACTGATGTAGGCAAATATGTTTATAGAACGCATCTCTTCCTATGAACACTCCAGGAATTTGAGATCGTCCGAGGAGGCCCTGCTCTCGATCCCGCCTGCTTCGCAAGCACGCCTGGCGGGGATGAGAGACAGGGCCTTCTCTGTGGTGGCCCCTTTGCTGTGGAACTCCCTGCCTAGGGACATTAGATCAGCCCCCTCCATCCTGACCTTTCGGAAAAGAGTAAAGCATTTGGAACCTCTGAATAAATAGACAAACTTGAATTGGAAAATGATCCAGGAACGGCCCAAGACGATGGAACGGATAAGGATTTGAATGAGAGGATATAGTTTTTAGCTTTTAATATTGTTATTATGCACTGTCTTATGTCTAATTGCACTATAATGGTTCTTTTGCTTATCAATGTATGTATTTTTATGGCATCGAATTGTGCCAATTGTGTACGCCGCTCTGAGTCACCTTCGGGCTGATATGAGCGGGGTAGAAATAATGCAAATAAATAAATAAATACTGCCATTCCATTTCCCATATGCTCCATGGCATCCTTGAAGTGACCAGCTTGACCTTGAAGGAGCTGGGGGTGGTGATGGCCGACCAGGAGCTCTGGCGTGGGCTGGTCCAGGAGGTCATGAAGTGTTGGAAGCAACTGAACAAATAAACAATAACATATGTATGTATGAAAGAGTAAGGAGGAAAGAGAGAAAAACACAAAGGAGGAAAGAGAAACACAAATTCCATGGTTTTCCATAAATGCAACTGGAGCCCCTCCCTTATCATGTTTACAAATCTAGGAACCTGCTTATTGGAAATCACATTTTAGCGCCTGAGGCCCCATCTACCCTGCCATATAATCGAGTCTCCAAATTCAGATTATCTGCTTTGAACTGTATTATCTGACAGTGTAAACTCATATTATCAAGTTCAAAGCAGATCATCTGGATTCTGAAACTGGGTGAAAGGCAGTCCCCAAGTTACAAATATCCGATTTACAAAGGACTCATAGTTAAAAATGAGTGTGAGGCTACAGGAAGTGAGAGAAATCTACCCCTTGGAAGGGAAATTCACTCCTAAATGAGTTGTTATCACGTTGAAAAGGTGGAGCCACAATGGTGCAATGGGTTAACTTACTTAGGCGATCCCTCGTAGTCCAAGGATGATGGTCCTCCAAGTGTAGTGTCCTGGCAGTGGGTCCATAGGTGACTGTGGAGCCCTATTCTTGATCTGCATCTTCTGGAGCAGATCTGATTTCATTTGGGAGGGAATTCCATAGCCGAGGCGCCACCACAGAGAAGGCCCTGTCTCTCGTCCCCACCAAGCACGATTGCGATGGTTGAAGGACTGAGAGCAGCCCCCCCCCCCCACAACGATCTTAATGTCTTAGGTAGCTCGTAGCGGGAGATAAGGGAGATTATTTATTTATTTATTTATTTACAGTATTTACATTCCACCCTTCTCACCACGCAGGGGATTCAGGGCGGATTACAATGTACATATACATGGCAAACATTCAGTGCCATAGACACGCAACATATATGGACAGACGCACAGAGGCTGTTTAACATTCCAGCTTTTTCATGAGAGTATTCTGGCCACAGGGGAGCTGTCGCTTCACCGTCCATTTGACACTGATGAAGTACTTCCTCATTCTTTGCATGCTTGCTGGATATTTTTATGGCATCGTAAATTAGTTAAATTAGCCTCCTCGCATACGCGGTATCTAAATTTCCTACTTGAGAGATGCAACTGTCTTTCGGGCTGCAAAGGTTGACAGCAAGCTATACATATTGGTCAGAAGCTCACTCTGACCCAGGCTGGCTTCGAACTCATGACCTTTCAGTCAGTAGTGTTCTTAATGCAGCTGACTCCCAGCCAACTGTGCCACAGTCCAGGAACCGATCTCCACAGTTACTTGATGTGAAATTTGCATGACGTTATTTTGTGCTTGACTTGAGTGCCATCTTTTCCCAAATGATTACAACTATCTGCTCTTCCTTGGTTTTGACATGTTCTTTCTAGCAACACCCTGCATCAAGGCCATCAGTCCAAGTGAAGGCTGGACCACAGGTGGAGCCATGGTGATCATCATAGGAGACAACTTCTTCGATGGGCTACAAGTCGTATTTGGGACCATGTTGGTATGGAGCGAGGTAGGCAAGGTGTCATAATACTTACAATGAATCGAGCTGTCTTCCTTGAGAAAGTATGCTAGGATTTATTTGTACTGTTATTATTTGATAGAGAGTAAGCATCAGAGCATGTCTATGCAATGCACCATACAAAATCCGGAAATGAAAACAATTGAGAATTACACACATTTCCCACTGGAAAGGGAATCGGGCAGTTCAATAGCATTCTTAATGATAGCAGTATCAGAAGGGAACAGAATTTCAATCACATTCTTAATATGAAATCATTATTTCCAATATTTTGTTTGGGGATTACCAATACCAGGAGGTAACCTAAATAATTTTGAATGTACCCACTTTTTCTATCATGACCTCCTTATCCATAGATATCAACAGGTTCATTATCCATGCTCCAAAACATATTTATTTATTACTAGCTATCCCCTGCCACGCGTTGCTGTGGCCCACATGGGGGTTCTGTGTGGGAGGTTTGGCCCAATTTCATTGTTGGTGGGGTTCAGAATGCTCTGTGATTGTAGGTGAACTATAAATCCCAGCAACTACAACTCTCAAAT